CCGCGTGGGGCAGAGCAGATGGGGTGCTGCTGGGTTGGTCCAGTAGCACCGAGGAGCGACGCTACTGGAGCAACCCAGCAGCACCCCAACTGCTCTGCCCCAGGCATCCCCAAGTCAGCTTTTGCTGAAACTGACCAGCGCTGACTACAGGAAGCCCCAGGCAGAGTTGCTCTGCCCCGGGCTTCCTGGAATCAGCTGCTGATCAGTTTCAGCAGCAGCTGACTTGGGGACGCCTGGGGTTCTTAAGTTGATTCTGTATGTAAGTCAGAACTGGTGGTCAGTTTCAGCAGTGTCTGAATCTGGACGCCAGTTCCGACTTACATACAGATTCAACTTAAGAACAAACCTACAGTCCCTATCTTGTAGTTGCTCTGCCCCGGGCTTCCTGGAATCAGCTGCTGATCAGTTTCAGCAGCAGCTGACTTGGGGACGCCTGGGGTTCTTAAGTTGATTCTGTATGTAAGTCAGAACTGGTGGTCAGTTTCAGCAGTGTCTGAATCTGGACGCCAGTTCCGACTTACATACAGATTCAACTTAAGAACAAACCTACAGTCCCTATCTTGTACGTAACCCGGGGACTGCCTGTATTTATATACACACCCATACACATCAGAATAAGTAAAAACGAAACACTGAAAAATAGAACAAACCTGTTAATAACATTTAAAACAAATTTTGAGTAGAAAATGCAAAAGAAGTAACACTTCTTGGGCAAGCCTCAGTCCTTGGGGTAAATAGTGCTGCTGAAGCATTCATTACTATTTTGACCATGCACTAAGTTCCCTTTCATTGAGTTCTACAAAGTCTATGATGCTGAGTCATATTGATTACAAGAATCATTTTCATTAATTTTACATTAGAATTGTTTTGAGTCAGCAATGGTGTTTTTATACTAAGATGCAATTCATAAATTTACATTTTCTATTAGCTTTGGAGATTTGAGTATCTTAAATATTTAAGGTGTTGACATTTTACACAATGAAAATATAGTGAGGTTGTTTAAAAACCCACTGGAAGAAAAAATGGTTAATGTTTTCTGGAGAATCTCTCCTCAGCATTAGCCCTTTGGCTTCAGGAACTTTGTCCCAGATACATCCCTTTATTAATGTTCAGATACTTCTCATAGAAAACATCATAGTAAAAAAACATTGCATATGTAACACAAATAGATCAGCTATTTTTCTTCATAGATCAGCCTAAATACTTATCAATCAATTTAATTAAGCAATAAAAGTACTTTACCATGTAGTTCAAATGTGGTGGTAGTAGATGAAGCAAACCTAATTTTGTCTGACACAGTGAGCGTGTTGGTATTATTCGAAATCTCATTGTCAGTGTAAGTCTTCTGACTGTCCATGGTGAACGTTTTATACCGTAGTTAACCTGGAGTCCTGTCAGACTACAGGCACTGAGAAAACAAGGAACTTTTCACTTCATCTGTTGAATGTGTTATGTCATCTGCTATGCATTCCAATCAACTCAATTTTTCTAGTCTTGCAAGATATTCCTGGGGTGGTTATTTGATCAGTTAGTTCCTCAAAAATCCTATAACTAAGATGTTTTGCTTCTCCCTTGTGCTTGTTTTTGTACATAATGGAAAGACCCTGCAGCTCGATCCTGCAAGGTGAATTCAGTAAGATTACTGGATGCTCAAGAGTTGCTTGGCACCTTGCAACATTTGAAGCCTTGGTGGTCAGTCCATTTGCAGGCAAAATTCCCACTGAAGCCAATGTGATGTTTGATTGAACACAAGCTTCAGTTCCTTAGAGGCAGAAGGCTAAATGTTGGGTCTTAACAAAATAGTGTAGGTTGTACCAATATGACCATTAGTAAGTGTACAAAATGGGCATGATGAGGGAAGGCGTTAATAGGAACATGTACGGGTATGTCTACACCACAAAAAAAGAGATGTGTTCTTACCTTGGGAGAGCTAACTCCAGTTAAAATTGCAGTGAAGAAATAACAACTCACCTTTGAATTACTTTAAAGTTAGACATTTGAAGATATGCCTACACAGGAGACCAGGGCTGTGTAGACCCTTAATTCGAACTAGTGGGAGGCTAAGGCTTCCCAGGTTTCCCTGGTGGCCACTCTGGCCAACACCAGGGAAACTCTATTGCCCCCCTCCCGGCCCCGGAGCCCTTAAAGGGCCACGGGCTGGCTACACAGTTTGTGCCAGTTGCAAGGCTGCCAGCACCCGCAGCAGCTGACACCCATGAGCCAGCCACCCGATGCCACCCAGCCCTCCCCCTCTTCCCGGGACCAGCCTGGC